CTCAAATATGCAAAGTGATTTACCGGTCACATTATTTATTTGATAATGTTCTTCAGTAAATCGCGAGACGGGAATGGTCGGGCCGCAGGCCCGCCGCCGGCAGGCCAAGCAGGCCCGGCCCCGGCCGAACGGAGTTGCCGGCGCAGCAAAAAGGAGCTGGCAAGGGGCGGAAGGGTAGGCCTGCTTGTTGCCATTCGATCCGCATTCCTAGCGCAAGTGTTGCACCAAAGCATGTCACGTTCGACTCAACAGCCTTGCGTTTATTGATATTATTTATTCGCCCGGATCAAAACCGTTCCCAACGCCTGGTAGTGTCAATGCTTCAACGGGATCGTTGGAAAAAAGGTTTTATATAGGGTATTAGCGCCTGTACTGGTGTTAGTTAGACCATTCGCATTACACACCTAGCAGAGAGGCGTTTTTCCAAATTATTTAAATTTTTACTGCGGTGATGTCGGCGCTACCTGGCGTTTTGCACCTTTGTAGCCCGCTCTTTTGCTTAAAAGCTATATAAGCGGGCTTATGCCATCGCCCCTCCCTGTGTCTGTCTGTCTGTCCGTCTGTCCGTTTTCCAAGAAGGACGTGAGCTAGAGGTCTGAAATTTTCAGGGTATTATTGTTGTCACTTCTGGACAACGAAACGGTTGGTGCAAATCCTGGCAACCACCCCTGAGTGGGTCTGAGGGGGTCACAAAGAAATAGGGGTTGGTACAAGAAGTGGGAAAAAAAATACTTGATCGTGTCCTACAGGGTTACTTATGAAAGTAGACCCCTTTTTGGACTAAAATTTCGTCCGTTTGGCTTTATCTCTCACCGTTTGGGCGCTAGACTGAGTTTCTCTTACAAAATGAGGCGGAGCCGAATCCGCTGTCTGTTTCAACGTAGCTACGGCCGTTTACGAGATAGCAGGAAAAAGTGCTCCAATTTGTATGAGATCAAAATGACCATACTAAAATTCGACCGAGGTGCTAGCCACCAAATTTTAGACCGATATTCAATTAAACACAGATTTTACAGCTTTCTCAACTTTCA